CAGCCCAGGCGCCCTGGGTGGATGCAGCGATGGCAGCGCAGCTTCAGGACCTGGTGGATTCGCAGAAGGTGATTGCCGAGGAGCTGAGCGAGATGCGTATCGCGGAGCGCTCGCGAGAGCTACGTCGTTCGGCTCTGGAGGCGAGCGAGGGGGCTCGTGCCTCGAGCTCGGAGGAGGCCCACCGCGAGGTCATCAAGGCGATGATGGCGCGGTTTGTCTCCGAGGTCCAAAGCCGTGGCGGTCGGGTTTGAGACGCGCGAGAAGCGCGCTGCGCCGACGGCAATCTCCCCTGTGTCGGTGGACTTGGCGGTCAAGAGGATGCGCTTCAAGGCTCAGTCGCCGTGGCAGGCCTTCTTGGAACAGCTCGAGAGCTACGGGGGGATCGCAGCGAGCGAGTGGACCGCCGAGATGACGGAGGGGAATCGCGAGCGGGTCGCGGCGGATGTATTGTCGGAAGTCTACCCGGCGGGAGAGACTTCGGGGGCCTGGTCGCGCCACTTCTCCGCGACAGGGGCTCGATGGATTCCCGCGCGGCTCGGGGGGTGGCGGCGGCTTTCGGCGCTGTGGGCACGATGCTCATGGCCAACCGTCAGGAGGAAGTGCTCGAGCGGGTGAGCTTCCAGAGGCGCGTGAGGGAAGGCTACGCGCTGGCGCGGGCGTGCCTGAACGGGCGCTGCAGCGAGGGCCGGGGCAGGCCGAAGGGCGCGACGAATTGGGGGGCGGCTCGACGTGTCGATCCGCAGCTCTCGAAAAGGGCGCGATCAGGGTGATGAGCGCTGCCCGAAGCTGGGGCGGCCAGCGTTGTCGTCCAGGAGGGTGCTGTCGCGCTGGCGCATGGTGTGAGGCCCGGTGGGCCGTTCCAGCCGCTGCCTGGTGGCCCTCGGCCAGCTCTGCCACGGGAGCTTCAGCGACGAGCCCCTTGCCCGCCGGGGGGCGTGGTGCCGGGTGGGGCCGCCGGACAAGGTGGGCGGGGACTTGGCTCGGCGAGTGCTGGGCGAAGTTGGGGGCGGCCCGCCGCCTCCTTCGATGTCCTCGCAGGGGGCCGCGATCCAGTGGCAGCGTCCTGTCGCCGCGGCGGCGGGCTCGCAGTCCCAGCTTTCCCTCGGCCAGGAGGTGGCCGAGCTTCAGAGCGGGCGAGCTGGTGGGAACGTGGGGCCATTAGACCGAGGCGAGACGTTTCCCGCTCAGTGGGGCAAAGTCGCCTTGCCTCCTCCAAGTTCAAAGTCAGTTTGCGCGCGGCCTGCGTCGCCGCGAGTAGCGAGGAAGCTGGGTGAATTCAGGGCGGAGGTGCTGAAGAACGGCTGCGACGAGTACGTGAATGATGCCGAGGGGGGGAATTATTTGGGCACGCATTTCCGTCGCCGCAGGAAAGTGATCAGCTTGGCGAATCGCATGGCGCAGGGGGGTGCTCTGCTGGTGCGAGAGAAGGTGGGCGCGGTCGGCCTGTTCTGCGTGGCCAAGAAGGCCGAGATCGTGGACGAGGCGGTTGAGGTGTTCCTCGGGCTCGCTTTTGACGAAGCGCTCATTTGCGCCGGCGGCGGCCGCCGCGGTGTGCTATGGGCGGCGTCGGCGCCGTCTCCTTCCTCCATTTGTCCGAGGAGATGCAGGGGCCCCAGGCGGTTGTGGCCCTCGGGGCAGGGGGCTTGTCGCGTGCCAGACTCCTACTGCGCTTTGGACTCATGTGCGGAGCTGGCGTCCTACATTGCTTCCCGCCGTCGGCGCTCGCGTCTTGCTGTAGGACTTGCCGTGCGACGCGATTCTGCCGGGGGAGGGGGGCTTCGCGGGCGCGCGCGCGCCGCGCCCGCGGGCTTCTTGTGGGCTTGCTGGATCGCGCAGACCGTGATGGAGGGCGCTGTCTCTTCAACAGCGGTCCCGAGGTTGGCCGTCTGGCTTTGCCGGCTAGGCAGCGCCTGGCGCAGGGCTGCCGCCTCCCCCGGGTCATTTGCAAGAGCCCGGCGGCCCGCTGCCAGGGCCAGTGCGTCGACGGCCGCAGCATCTTTGGGGTGGGCTTCCAGGCGTCGGAGGATCGCCCGACTCCGCAGCGCATTCCAGACTTCTGGCTGGCGGCCGAGGCGCTGGTGGTGGCTGCTGGATTCCATGTCCACACAAGCGACTGCGCGTCGGAGGCCAGGATGATCGGGGACGACTTCTCGGGCGCGCGCCTGGCCCCCGACGGGGGCAGGGCGCGCGTCTGGCGGCGGCGGGCGTCGAGAAGGCGCTGGGGCTGAAGCTTGAGTCCCCAGACTCCGTGGCTCGCATCGTGGGAACCTTCTAGTGGGTCTTCTTGATCTTCTCCGAAGTTAGGTTTGTCGCCGATTTTCGCTGCACGCCCGGGTGCCTGGGTGCCCAGGGGTGCCCGGGGCCCAGGTGCCCGGGGGGTGCCCGGGGGTTGCCTGGGTGCCCGGGTGCCCGGGTGCCCGGGCGTGCCCGGGCGTGCCCGTGCGTGCCCGTGCGTGCCCGGGGGTGCCCGGGGGTGCCCTGTTATAGCCTTATAGCCCTAAGCCCTATAGCCCTATAGCCCTGTAGCCCAGTAGCCCAATTGCCCTATAGCCCTACAGTTCTATAGCCCTACATAGCAGCCCTATAGCTCAATAGCCCTATAGCCCTGTAGCCCCCGAGCCCTGTCGCCCTGATTGGGGTTGCTCTCTGGTATCATTTTTTCCCAACCATCCTGTGGTGTTGGGTCCTCGTTTTGAAGAGACGGTGCCCCGCGTCTCCTCCTCTCCTCCTCCTCCTCCCCCTCCTCCTCCCTCCTCCCCCTCTTCCCGGCGTTTCACCCACCCAGTACAGTGTTTCGTAGCCCCATGAGAGCTCCACCGAAGGCCCCAGTACCCGCGCCCGCATGCGTCACCCACGCCCATTTCGGCACACCCCTCACACGTTTCGTGGCTCCATAGGGAGCTCCACCGAAGGCCCCAGTGCCCGCGCCCGCATGCGTCACCCACACCCATTTCGGCACACCCCTCACACGTTTCGTGGCTCCATAGGGAGCTCCACCGAAGGCCCCAGTACCCGCGCCCGCATGCGTCACCCACACCCATTTCGGCACACCCCTCACACGTTTCGTGGCTCCATAGGGAGCTCCACCGAAGGCCCCAGTGCCCGCGCCGCATGCGTCACCCCACACCCATTTCGGCACACCCCTCACACGTTTCGTGGCTCCATAGGGAGCTCCACCGAAGGCCCCAGTGCCCGCCCGCATGCGTCCCCCCACCCATTTCGGCACACCCCTCACACGTTTCGCCCGGCTCCATAGGGAGGCACACCGAAGGCCCCAGTGCCCGCCCGCATGCGTCCCCACACCCATTTCGGCACACCCCTCACACGTTCGTGGCTCCATAGGGAGCTCCACCGAAGGCCCCAGTGCCCGCGCCCGCATGCGTCACCCACACCCATTTCGGCACACCCCTCACACGTTTCGTGGCTCCATAGGGAGCTCCACCGAAGGCCCCAGTGCCCGCGCCCGCATGCGTCACCCACACCCATTTCGGCACACCCCTCACACGTTTCGTGGCTCCATAGGGAGCTCCACCGAAGGCCCCAGTGCCCGCGCCCGCATGCGTCACCCACACCCATTTCGGCACACCCCTCACACGCTTCGTGGCTCCATAGGGAGCTCCACCGAAGGCCCCAGTGCCCGCGCCCGCATGCGCCACCCACGCCCATTTCGGCACACCCCTCGCACGTTTCGTGGCTCCATAGGGAGCTCCACCGAAGGCCCCAGTGCCCGCGCCCGCATGCGTCACCCACACCCATTTCGGCACACCCCTCACACGTTTCGTGGCCCCATAGGGAGCTCCACCGAAGGCCCCAGTGCCCGCGCCCGCATGCGTCAGCCACACCCATTTCGGCACGCCCCTCACGCGTTCCGTGGCCCCATAGGGAGCTCCGCCGAAGGTCCCAGTGGGTGTGCCCGCATGCGTCCCGCACACCCATTTCGGCACACCCCTCACACGTTTCTTGGCCCCATAGAGAGCCCCACCGAAGGCCCCAGTGGGTGTGCCCGCATGCGTCCCGCACGCCCATTTCGGCACACCCCTCGTACGTTTCGTGGCCCCGTAGGAGGCTCCACCGAGAATATATCCACAATTGCAGTATTCACAATTGGATATTGTTGGGTCCTTCGCCAGGATATTTTTTCCCCGACCATCCTGTGGTGTTGGGTCATCGTTTTGAAGAGACGGTGCCCCGCGTCTCCTCCTCTCCTCCTCCTCCCCTCCTCCTCCGTCCTCCCCCTCTTCCCTGCGTTTCACCCACCCAGTACAGCGTTTCGTAGCCCCATAGGAGCTCCACCGAAGGCCCCAGTACCCGCGCCCGCATGCGTCACCCACACCCAGTTCGGCACACCCCTCACACGTTTCGTGGCTCCATAGGGAGCTCCACCGAAGGCCCCAGTGCCCGCGCCCGCATGCGACACCCACACCCATTTCGGCACACCCCTTCACACGTTTCGTGGCTCCATATGGGGGCTCCACCGAAGGCCCCAGTACCCGCGCCCGCATGCGTCACCCACACCCAAGTCGGCACACCCCTCACACGTTTCGTGGCTCCATAGGGAGCTCCACCGAAGGCCCCAGTGCCCGCGCCCGCATGCGTCACCCACACCCAGTTCGGCACACCCCTCACACGTTTCGTGGCTCCATAGGGAGCTCCGCCGAATGCCCCCAGTGCCCGCGCCCGCATGCGTCACCCACACCCATTTCGGCACACCCCTCACACGTTTCGTGGCCCCATAGGGAGCTCCGCCGAAGGCCCCAGTGCCCGCGCCCGCATGCGTCAACCACACCCATTTCGGCACACCCCTCAAACGTTTCGCGGTCCCATGGGGAGCTCCACCGAAGGCCCCAGTGCCCGCGCCCGCATGCGTCACCCACACCCATTTCGGCACACCCCTCACACGTTTCGTGGCTCCATATGGAGCTCCACCGAAGGCCCCAGTGCCCGCCCCCGCATGCGTCACCCACACCCATTTCGGCACACCCCTCACACGCTTCGTGGCTCCATAGGGAGCTCCACCGAAGGCCCCAGAGCCCGCGCCC